GAGAGGAAGGGAGGAAGGAGAGGAAGAGAGAGATAGAAACATCAATGATGAGAAAGAATCATTGATTGGCTCCCTGCTTCTACTGGGGATTGTTTAGTTAGCATATTTCACTTTTATTATATATATATTTAATTTCAGAGAGGAAGGAGAGGAAGAGAGAGATAGAAACATCAATGATGAGAAAGAATCATTGATTGGCTCCCTGCTTCATGTTCTATACTGGGGATTGAGCCCACAACCCAGGCATGTGCCCTGACCGGGAATTGAACAGTGACCTCCTGGTTCATGGGTCAATGTTCAACCACTAAGCCATGCTGGCCAGGCCATCTTTTAACCTTTTAGTCACCACATTCTGCCTTGGCACAGTATATTGGACTTTCATCACAACCTGGCCACCTGGTCACCTTAAATTACTTCAAACATATTTTTTAAAAATTCCAGCTATTTTAGTTATTGTTACAACTATTGGTTTGGATATAAACCATTATAGCTGGAAGCAGCACCTCTCCTGGAAGTTTTAATTTTTGTCTGATATGCAGACATGGAAAGGCCACTGGTAATTTCTAGGGAATCAATTATGCGACCTCTACTGATGAGAAATCGCTATGTTATCTTCATTATGGAATTTCCCTGAAATTGATTTCTCCTCCCTTCCTTTAACTATATTACCCACCAAGTAAAACCCTCTTTTTCTTAATCTAGTCTGAGTTTCTGCAATTTCAAATAAACCATAAACATAAAACACATCTGTTTGCTAGCTACTCAGAATAAGAGGACCAATTTGTATTCATGAGAGCATAGTTGTATAATGTATTTTGGGAAGAATATGGTAGCCTGCTTTTAAAAACAACTTCATCACTGGGCTACTTGGTGACCTTGAAGAATTCATCCCTTGGGTCTCAGTTTTCTCATCTGTAAAATTTTCTGATTATACAAAATTACTAAAATTCTTTCAAGCTGAAAATTCTATCATTCTGATTTAGAGCTAATTGGCCCACACAGGAATTGAATCCACAAATTCGCCCTTTTAAACCCTTGGTATTACCAATGGATCAGGCTAATATTGTACATATAATGTTTCTTGTTAAAAGAAAAAGTTACCTATATGACTTCCCTTTGAAGATCAAGAAGATATAAATCATGACCACAGAAGAAATATACAATTTTAACATAGATAATAAAAACATTGAATGTATTAAAGATTTTGCTGACCTTGGTGCAGTCAACAATTCAAATGGAGACTGCAGCCAAGAAATCAAGTAAAGGCTGAGACCCAGAAGTGCAGCTATGGAAGAATTAAGAAAGATCATCAAGGTCAAAAATGTTTCAATAGAGACCAAGGCTAAGACCATTCACATCCTGGTATTCCCAGTTACTATGTATAGATATGAAAGTTGGACAGTGAAGAAGACTGATAGGAAAAATGATTCATTTGAAATATGGTGTTGGAGGAGAGCTCTACAGATACCCTGGACCACCAGAAAGATGAACGAGTGGGTCTTAGAGCAAATTAAGCCTGAATCGTTGCTGGAGGTAAATATGACGAAACTGAAGCTGTCCTACTGCAGGAACATCATGAGAGGGCAGGGAAATGCTGGGAAAAATAGAAGGTAGCAGGAGGAGGAAGACCAGATGTGAGATGGGTTCAATATGGAGCTGTAGACTCATGCAGGGCTACTGAGGACAGAACACT